TTATTTTTTTTTATGCTTGGAATAATATGGGTTAAATTTACCGGACGATCGGACCATTATGGCTGAATCAATGGGAACCGCGGTGCGAAGGTTCTCACATATAAAAACGATTCGGGAGGATTACAGGTAGCGGCGAGTTTCTTTTCAACGTAAAAGCAAAGGGAATTCCTTCTTGTACACGAAATAAGCGAGTGACGCGTTGTTTGACAAGTACTCTGGCATGTCCACACCTCGTTGAATGGGTGTCAGCGGCAGCGGACGGGGACACAAAAGCCGGACGGGTAAACATACCTACGCTAAGGCCACACTTGAAAGGTAATACTTTTAATCCTGCAAACAGTCAAAACACGGGCATTATCCAGCCGGAGGACGTTATAATGGGATTAGAGAGTGCCGGAGATATGCAGGCGTGAGATTGGACCACAACAGCTCCGTTCATCTATTCGATAAGGTAATACGTAATGATCCGTGCGTCTCGAGTTCGGAAACTTCGAGGAAAGATTCAACACGGTAAAATCATTCCGGATTATGTAGTGAAAACCGTATATCGTTAGAGAACTATACCTACTAACCCCTAGTTGCCCTATCACCGAAGTACATCCACTTATTAGTTGATACAATTTATGATATGACGTAACAGTCATCCTGCGTGATTTTCACTACACAGGGTGTTCGGAAACTTCGAGGAAAGATTCGAAGGGGAAAAATAATACCGGATTATGTTGCCAAAAACCGTATATCGTTGGGCGAACGATACCTACTAACCTCTAGTCGTCCTATCACCGAAATATGTCCATTTATGAATTCATGCCATTTATGATGCAACGTAATTGTCACCTTTGGTGATTTTTCACTTTATCAGATTATTTTTGTGAAGGGAATTTCAAGCACTTTTCAATTATTTAAAAATATGCAACGGGAGTTTACCATTTTAAACAGATGTGTTACGAAATAGCGGATTTAACATTAAACACAAACAATCGAAACCATGTATTCAATTCGATTGTAGAATGAGGAAACATTAGACCTGTTGAGACTAGCGAGTACTGCTAATACTAGGAGACTGCAATCAAATATCGAACCATAAGAAAACTAAAAATAATTAAAATAAACATTATCCTATTCCCCTTATCACCGAGACAAACTCAGTTTATAGATATAAGAAAGTGACTAACTGATATGAATTAAGGAAAGCCCCGGGCAAGCTGTAGGAATGAAATATGGCCGAACAGGTCGGTACTTTGCTTAGAAATTAATTATTTGGGGTTTTGTTAGGAAAGATACCAAACAATATTAATTTATTTATGTATGTATTTATGTTTAAATCTAAAATTAAATTACAAATTATTTTTATTACCTACGTAAATTACTTAAAATTATTCACATAATATATCAGTATCACTATCGCTATCATCGCCTGTTCTAATTATTATTTGTTCTATATTATTTGCAATATGGATATACGATTGCTCTGCTTTTTCTATATGTTTAACAGAATTTGCCCAACTTTGTTCCGTTTCTATGATAAAAACTTCGGTTTCTATAAGTTTGAGAACATTGGAGTTAACACTGGGAAAACATTGTTACGACGAATAGCAGATTTCAGTTGGTGCCTAACATGTTCAATGGGATTAAATACACAGTGGTAAGGCGGAGCCTTAAAACTGTATGCCCTAGATTTTTTGCATAATTATCAGAGACGTATTCCTTTTGTAGGTTCAAGCTTTGTAGAACCTCAATTAATTGCTTTTTGGTATAATCTTCGTGAAAATAAATGTCGTTATTATACATGTAGTTTTTGGATTGTTGCTTTTGTGTCACATGAGGAAGGGGTTTTAGTCAACTGTCTACTGTGATAATTTGCATTGCCCATTACAATCACGCTATTAGGAGGAATGTTTGAAACTAGTTTGTTTTTAAACCAACTTTCAAATAAATCAGCGGTGGGGCATTCATGGTAATCCAGAGAAGAATCTTTAATATTTTTCGCAGACAGAGAAAGTCCATTTGGAATCCAACCATCTTTAGAGCTAGGATGCAAAATAGTTATTATTTTACCTCTTTTTGATGGCGCGTTTATTTTACACTTATCATTTGAGTCAACCCAACCCTTTTCCAGGGTATCATAAGTGTCGAACCAGGTTTCATTTAAGTAAATAATTGGCCTTTGTTGTTCTCTGTAAATCCTAATTTTTTCTAGATATTCCAGTCGCCATTTCCGAATTCTAAAAGATTCCATTAAAACTTGCCTTTTGTCAATTTTTTTAAATCTAAAACCCATGTGTTGAATACACTTCCAAAAGGTAGTTCTGTTACATTTAACACCGGTTTCATCTTTTTCAATCCTCCTAATTAAGATATCTAATGTAGGCACGCTTTGTTCCTCGTATAACTGGTAAATTTTACGCCGTATTATATCTTGATCACTTTCATCTACACTCGAGAAAATGTCAGCATCGCTTCTTTTTTTCCTCGCTGAAATGGGATTATTCATAATTTTCTATACAGCTGATGTTGGAATTTTCGTCAATGTGGGCGTTTCTTCTAAAGATGGTTGCTTGCGGGCACCACGTTCAATGAGAGTCAAATAAACATTGTTTATAACTTCCTTAGTCTCAATAGAATAGTGTTTTCTACATTAGGGCGGGAGCATCTCCTGAGATACACTAGATTCGCACATATTTTGCATAATTCGCACAAGATTCAACACACGCTGTATTACACACGAAATAAGAATGATTACTAATAAACTTAACCTAAGTAGTATACCAAACCAAAGAATATTAAACGCAGGTAGGTATAAAATTATTTTCTATTACGGACCACAATTTTACCTGAATTTAAATTCCGAAACTTTAAGTAATAATCTTGGTAATCCCTTGGATAATCCCATTCAAAAGCAATTGGTCACTTTCTTATATCTATGAAAAGACCATACGTCCGCGTACACGTACACACAGGACGTCTCTTTTCCACAGAAGCTTCTCCTATAACGTTTACAAACTTTACAATACCGTTTCTCTCTCTTTAAAAGCCTTCTCACCATTAAACTTAAAAAAAAAGATAAGAAATGTTCAGCCAAGAAGCAAATTACAAGTGATTTTCGAGTAAGTGCAGTCCTAAAATTTTCTATCCAATTTAGTTATCTAATGCAAATTAATAATTTTAAAATAGTTGCTATATATTATTTTATATGGGTTATTATTATGTGTTCGGCCCTGATTTAGTAAAAGTTGTCGTTACAAAATAAAAGTGTTTCAGAAATCTGCGCTAGAGGGCATTTTACCTAGGACGTTTTTTTTTATTTTCCCTGTGTTTTATTTATTTAGACTGATATTACAAAATAGAACGACTAATGAACTTTTTTATTCTAGGTCCAAATACACAATGTTTAATTTAAGTAACATAAATACATTTAACATTTTCGAAAATAAAAAAATATTAATAATAGTCAGGAATTAAACGGTATACAACGCTAACTACAATGCATTTTCAAAATGCCCACCGTTCATTTCTAAACATTTTCTTATACATTTTAAAAAATGCTGTCGAACACGAAAGAATACGCCTAGCCTCTTTCTAATGATTTCGCAACCGTTTATTATTTTTGGTTTAAAAGCATACACTATAAGTGAGCAATAAATTATCGTCCTGTTGACTTATAAAAAAAAATCACAGCACAAACAAATAAACACCAAACAAACTACTCGCTAAAACGTGTACAAAGTATTGAAATGATGTTCGAAAATATTGAAACATCACACATTTTTTAAGCCACTGGTATAATGGATAGAAATAAATTGGTTCCTCAGTGGTGGCGTCCTCTGTTGATAGCCAGCTGTAATAATCGTCCGTCGAGGCTTGCCTTGCCATCTATGCACTCAAATGCGCACTTTTGCTGAGCTTAAATAGTCAGTCACGTCCGGAAATGTCAATGGGTAACGTAGCGGTAACTGTTTTACTTTTCAGGCCACGGCTTGGTGGCGCTGTTTAAAAATTACCAAAAAGCTAATAAAAATTGTTTTTCTATTAACATAATGCTTTTTTTTTCAGCTTGAATATTTATTTCGAAATACAGAAGCTCTTTGCCCCTTAATATTCAAGACAAGCTCCGAAGAATGGCTAGATTGATTTCTATATTTCCCATGGTATTGAAGTGAGGTAATATTAAGCATAAATGGGCTAGTTTCGTGATTTAACCGCTTAAGGGTGGTTAAAAAGTTTTTTTCTATGAATGTGAATCACTGAATGATAATTAATTTCTAGAGCCGTTTTGTTTGCTTTCAACACAAACTTTGATCTGTTGGGAAAATAACTAAGGAATTAGGTATAAGCAATGGGAAGCAATACATATCGCTTCAGGCATATTTTTCTTTAATTGCTCATTAATAAATCTAAGAGGATGTTAAGTGTTAAGCATGAGTTAAAGTACCACTTAAAGCGGAAATTTATTGTGTCCTATTTCTTTTTTAAAGTTTTATTTTGTCACATATTTAGTTTTTATAGAATTAACATTTTGTTTTCTTACGTCGAATATACAGTTTTGATGCTATAACCACTGCAATATCTTTTTGTGATCCATCCTTTTGCATTGTAAATACATTGTTATTATTTATTATTCGGATGCGTGTTATTTGTGTTTAAAGTCATTTGATCCGCTCTGCCTCGTATTATCTTTATTCTCTAGTAAACTATAAAGACTGTTGTTATTCTTTTTATATTATTGGCTAATAAAATAGTTTAAAAGTATTTTTAAATTTATTTCCTTTATTTACCAATGCGTAATAAAACAATTGAAATTAAAGTTCTTCTTCTTATCGATCTGCCCAATCTTGACTTCCATATGAAAATAGTTTTTCAGCCAACGGTATGGTGGCGCTGTTTTTATATTTCCAAGTTCTCATACAAAGTTTGCATTTCCTAATATTCCGTGCTTTTGGTGGTGTATTTTTTTAAATTAAAGTAACTTTATTTTGTCGATTATTTTTGTATGTTATGTTAACCGGCATACCTTATTTCAGGTAAAACACTCATACACATCACATTATAAGCGAAGGAGCGAAGTCTGTCCAAGCTCAGTCAAAATTGCCATATTTAATATTAAAACTGGTTTTGGTTAGTTTGAAATTAAAGTGAATCCTCGGGCCGAATTTGATTAAAAAGAAGTGAATATAATTTTCCAAGAAGTTGGTCTTGGTCCAACTTAATCTTCGAATCTTTCGAGGGTAAAATATTAATTATTTTCATTAGTTCTAGAACTTCCTTGTGCAATGAAAATATTTAATATAGACTTTTCCCGTATTTATTTGACATAAGGTAAAATTTGTTGCATTCAACATAGCATTCTGTGAATTTGCTTAATTAATAAAACAAAAAGTATATAGAAAATAAGCAATTTATGCGTACCATTTTTTTTTCTTAATTACATTTGCTTCCGTAATTTTATTTTTATATTCATTAACCAATTTCGCAAAGTTATCTTCCACTATCTTTTTCTTTTTAATTTTTTGTCCCGGCTGCCTTATGAAATCTTCCTTCTTTTGCTGCAAAGATTGCTTGGCCATTTTTTGTTGCCGTTTTTCTTTTTTCACATTCTCGTAATGTAATTTAGCCTGAACGTTGAGTTTGTACCTGGCCCTCGTTTTAGGTATGTGACCCCTTTTAGACGTCACCCCAGCAAAATCTTCCAATTCCTGCTCCGACTGGGTATCCGCTTCCTGTCCTCGTTTGGGGGCAACGTAATTCTTCGATTTCGGGTTGGATATCTTAGACTTTTCGAGCCGCTTCAATTTGGCTTTGATCGCCGACTTACTTTCTATACTAAACGTAACTATAGGCCTCTTCTGCGGTGAAAAAATGTTGGGATTGTTATTCAGTGCTCGTAACGCGAGCAGAGCGTTCTCGTGTTTTGTAAAAGTAACAAACCCGTATTCTTTGGATGGCCCCACGCCTTTAGCATCTAAACGTTTCATATCACGCATAACACGAGCCTCCTTTATCACAGCCCCCTCGCCAGCATACTTTTTTACCAACATTTTTAACTTGTTGTCATCCCATGCGGGAGGCAAATTGTGTATAACGAGGCGTTCCCTTGACACGAAAGTGTTTAATTTACGTAACATCTGGGTTTTGTATTGCTCCAGCTGTAGCCGTTTCGCCATATCGCTAACTGAAACCCCTTCGGCTGCTTTTGTCCCGGCCAAAATTACTAAAACAGGCAATACTCACTCACCAAAATCAATAAAGGTTTCTCTTAATACCTCCTTCCTTAACAAGGTACAAATTTCTAGAATCCTTTGGTTTCGACTTCTCTTCCTTTTGGGCTTCCACCTTCTTCTGGAGTTCATTACGATCTAACGCTAAATGGCAATCCAAAACATTTCCCAATAGAGTCAATTCGGTGCCAGCGTTCAATGCTTTCTCCGCATCTTCCTTATTCTAAAAAATACTAGAGAGTTATTAATTCAAACAAGTAAATAATTACTCACGACAAATTTCACAAAGGCTGTTCCTCTTGAATGTTCCGTCAACTTATCTAAGCAAACTAGGGCATAAAAGATTCGTCCAAATTGCGACATACACTCTTTGACGTCCTCATTAGTTGCCTGGAAGGGAACATTTTTAATAAATACCGTTCTTCCTTCGGTGGCGTCATGTGAAACTATCCTTTTTTGAACTTCAGGTTCTGCCTCCACAACCTCATCTTGCCCAGACTCCTCTGAATCTGCTTCCGAATGGACTTCATCTTTTACATTATCTATATTAAATTTTTCTTCTTCGATTTTATCTTTTACTTCAACTAGTGACTCATCTTTAATTTCAACTGCTTGTTCGATATTCCTAGATTTCTTCTGTTCATTCACGGTTTTAGTGTACTTGTCTTTTGGTTTTGCAAAATCTACAGAAATATTTCTGCCCAAAAATGGTTGGTTATGAGTGTAGTGTTTAGCTTTTGCAGCTGCCTGCACCAAGTTGTATTGAATAAATGCGCATCCAACTAATTTGCCGTCTTCTTTTTTCAATAATTCCACATTCAATATTTCACCAAATTTTTCAAAATGCTCTTTAATTTGAGAAACCGTAGCCCTAAAACTTAAATTTCGAACCACTATACGTGCCCTTTTTTGTTTTAGATTTTGTTTAGATTCTCTGCGCTTTGCTTTCGATTTTTCCTTAATAAACTTCTTGACAGCGGGGTTCTGGGATTCTGAATGATAAGCAGTTACATTAAACTATTAAAAGTTGAATTCAAACTACTTACTTTTACCCATCTCGAAAGCTTGCGCAGTCTTTAAGACACTACACCATATGGTATAGGTTAATGTTAAATTCGATGCATTTATAGGTTAGCAAAAAAATGGTGGACAAGGCTGCTAAGATCATTCGCTCATTTCCGACATCAATAGAAGATTTTAGAAATTTTTGTCACAAACTGACTCATGTTTTTTAACTTTTACTCTTGCCCATTGCCTAACAAATGTCTTGCCACTTCTTTAAAAAAAAGGTTTTCAAACCAATCTAAGTTCCATAACCACCAAAAGAAACACTATAAACACGCTTAACCCGATATCAAATCAATCAAACACCGGCTTTTGCATAGAATGCAGGTTAATAAGGTCTGTGTTTTTCATTTTTTTTTTCGCTAAAATTTGCGGCATTTGCTATCAGTTCCGAATGTGATATGCTAAGAGAAATTTGTTGCATAAATTTTACTTCAGCGAAACGAAATCCATTGAATTTAACCTAAAATAAAAACGAAACCAGTTTTATAATACAATTTTTTAATAATCTGCGGTTTCCTGTTCTTTTTTTCAATGGGCCATGGAACATACCCAAGATCGGAAAACAACAATATGTACATGCGTCAACCAGATGACCGAATTTGTTTGTTTTCAAATTGGGGATATTTGTAAATATTGCGCCGGACCCACAAATTATTTCTTCTTCTTTCAAATAAGATAGACTATATACGTAGTAAAGGTCACTCGTCCATACCAGATACTACTAGACAATTAATCCTTAGGATCTACACTAAGAACTCTCCTCTTCTTTATCCATACCGAAACATAACCTCCAATCAGTGGATTTTAAAAAATGTTTCCAAGACTATTTGTGCATCTTGGTAAAATCCACTGCAACTTACAGCTGCGAAATCTACATGTATGCGAACCAACTTTTCAAATTCAGAAAATGACTCGGCTTCGAGTAGTCGATAATAGCGAAATCGGCGTGAGAGCAATGGCTGAAGGAAAGCCCCCGAAATGTATCCACGTATATAACAAAACCGGTGTGGGCCTAATCGGTAGGTGGATAATTAAGAAAAACCCTGTCTTATACTAGCTACATATTTTAGGCGACAGAGTGCTCGTTGCCATCAGGGGTGAAAAGAAGAAGGCCGTCCTTGTCGGCCTCAAACAAAACCAAAAACCTAAGATTCCTAAATTTGATAGTAACAACATAGTTCTTATTGATGACAATGGCACACCTTTGGGAACTAGAATCCACGTACCAATTCCGACAGTTTTGAGGACAATATTAAAAGAAAGTACTATCAATAAAGGTGCCGATTATACGAAATTGTTAGGAATTGCATCAAAATTTGTTTAATTAGATTATACACTAGTTAACAGTTAAGATGTTTATTATCCCTTTGGTATAAATTTACTTGTCTATATTTTACTTTTTGACAGACCTAAATAATTGCCAATAACCAACGCAATACTTTTAGCACCAACAATATGGAAGTAATGATCGCCAGAAAGCCATTGGATCTTAATATTCCGTTGCTTTTGAAATGCCTGTAGAATATCTTTAGGCCAATTCCATCCATTTTCTGTAGATAAGAGAATTAGGATGGGACACTGAAACGGATTGGCCTTAAGAACATTTAAAAAATAAGATTTATCATACAAAAAACGTATAAAAGATGTAAGACGTGAATCTAATTGAAGTTGATATTTATTTTCCGATACCTCCACCACACTTCTTGGTAATATCATTTCTGCTGCCTTCTTCTTTAGAGGAAAGAGAACTCTCTGTTTATTTAACTCATGTAATGCGTCATCGAGAGTATCGACAGGTTTATTTGATATCTGCCTATTTTCTTCCAAAATTTTTTCGTAACGATCGCACAAATGACTTACAAACTTATCAGGCTCGACTGCCAGAAGTGATATTATATCTAAAAGTATTAATTTTTCCACTTTTTCGGGAAAAACTATTGCAAACTGAAGGGCTATGTGGGCACCCAGACTATGACCCATTAAAATAAACTTATCCCAATTAAAATGATCAGTTACAAATTTCAAAGCTAACACAAAGTTCCAAAGGTGTATCGGAATGTGTTCAGTAAATCGACTGGATCTACCATGGCTTGGAAGATCTATACACACATAGTTATAAGTTTGCGGAAGGAGGGAAACCAATTGATCAAAACTTCCAGCATTGTCTTGAATTCCGTGAATGGCTAAAATCGGAAAGTGGCTCTCATTTCCCCAAGACTTCACTTGAAATAAAAATTATTATAAATTGACCAATCGCCACATGGTTACTTACCAGCTATATGACCCCAGGGCACACTTATGTTAAATTCTTTCAATTTCAAATTCACATCCATTTTAAAATAAATCTCTGTTGACAAAAAATTACAATTCAAATGTAACTCGCACCACAGAATACATGTTTTGCTTCACTTTGCTTGCAAAAGCCGCAAATTTTTCCTACTCTGTGCATTTGCACTTTTTGTTCCCATAATTAAATATTTACGATTATAATTATGCAAGCAAAATCAATTTGTTGAACAAGTATAGGAATATAATTGTTTTTTCTATTAAGAGGTTAAAGCAGAATGCTGGGCAAATACAAAAATGTTAACGCCATTGTATTTGAATCCTAGGGAATTTTTGCCAGAATTCGATTGACAGTTCGTCAAACATTTGTCAAAAAAAATCATTTAACGATGCTTTCCGCGTTGAAGGGGATGGTTTAATTCCACGATATAGTTAAATTTATAAATGAAAATGCTTTTTCTGGTGATCGTTTTTAAGTTTCGGGATATTTGACCAGATATAAAAATGAACGGTAATATAAAACGCACCAAAATTTGCTCTGGGTTCTTTGTACGGTATTAGAATTTTGTTGATATACTTTTTGCATGTTTTGAAGCTGTTATTTTCGGCAAATGAGTATTTAGAACTCCTCCTTTTAACGGTTACGGCTGAATGATGTTAATTTAACTGGAAATTTTGGAATCATTGTTCAGCTTCTCGGTTTTATTTATGGGCACATGTAGTGCATAATTTATCTCCTATATTTTAGTTGGATTAAAATTGACCATTCAGTCGATAGCAGTTAATAATTGAACCAAATCTTTAGTTAAAATTGCAAATCGACTAATATGTATGTGCATGGTAGATGCATATAAAAAAAAACATTCTTACGAACTGAAAAAGTTTATTAAATATTATAAAAAAATATATTCACAATTTACATACATACATACATTAGGTGCTTTTTCTATTTTTTGCTCTACATTATCACTTGGTATTAAGCCGTATTTAGAAATAATTGCAATGTTAGGAACCACGTTTCAGTAGAGTAAATGCTTCAAATGTTCTAGCTTTTATTTTTGGTGGTGCTGAAATTGCTGGCTCGTAAGTAAATACGTGATTGAAATAAATTAAGAAGGGTTATAAAGTAAAACTGGTTCAAAAGTAAAGTTCATAATATTTTACCAATGCATCATCTACATTGCAGTTTACAACACAATGCCTGGAGTGACTGAAATGGGCATGGTCTGGATGGGCTCTCAGCAGACCACGGCCGAAATGCCCATGAGTATCATTTCAAGTGAAAACCACGAAATGCTTCTTGACCATGATAATACTTATTATACACCTTCACATCACAGCATGTCAAATCAATCTATTGACGATATGAACACCGTGAACAGTTCACACATGGTATGTATGTTCCATTAAAATTGACATTTTTTAAAGGAGTGTCTCAAGTTGGATCAATTAACTCTAATTTATAAAGTCTTATTCCCTTTCAGGATAGTGTGGAAAATTATGATATGATGCATTTCATTGACATGAAAAATGAAAGTAATGATTCCAGTTATTTGGAAGATGACAATTCACAGCCAGTTTATATGATTACGACTGCCACCCAAACGTTGCCATGTCCCACTCGAAAGATCAAACCGGTAAAGCATCCCGGTTTGGTGCTGAAAACGCCTATAGCTTACCAAAGTGACACTGACCCATCAGTTATTCCTATACAGAAAGATGGGATCGGTACATAACTTTTAAATATGGTTTTATTTGTACATAATCAGCTGGTGCCTTTTTAGCGGTGTGCGAAAAATGTGGAGCGATCGGAGTGAAACATGCGTTTTACACCAGGGAACGTAGGTTTTGTTCTATGGCGTGCGCCAGAGGTTATAGCGGCTTAATCCCCGAGCCGTTGCCCCATTTGAATCAAGAAACGCCCGATTCCAAACTTTTCTACGCCAAGCATCAATTCACGATGAAATTTGAGGACAATTTTGACAACTCGTACATTGACCAAAGGTATTTTGCAACTTTCTGATTTTTATTTTTTTTTCAAAAAGAAAATTATATGAATAGCAAATCATTATTATTTATATTTATTACTAAAATATGCAATTAACAGTTGTGAATGGAAAAGCCATGTTTTTTGACATTGTAGGTTTTTGAAAATGGTCCCAAATTTTAATTTTCTTAAAAATTTGCAGAAATTACTATATACTGTATGGTCTATAGTAATTTACTATAGTAATTTATACTAATAAACATAAAATATTAATCAGCTGCAAAATAATGAACTGAAAATATCCGTGTTTCGTCTGAAAGTACTTTTCTCAATATTCTCTTTCTCTTCCATTTTCAAAATGGTTCATCAAATTTAAACAAAAATGTTTTTCATTATTCATATTGTCACTTGAAACTGACAGCTTTAAAGCAAAATTTTTTAATGCCGCTTGAAATTATAAAGTTAACTTTTTTTCAGTTGCGAAATAATGAACTGAAAATATCCGCGTTTGGAATAAAAATGTTTTTCTCAATATTCTATTTCTCTTCCATTTTCAAAATGGTTCATCAAATTTAAATAACATATTTTTCATTTTTTTTGGTGATTTTATTGATGATATAGAGTATTAATTTGCCTTTGAAAATCAATATTGTACGTTTTTGTATATTGAGTTGTTTGTTAGTAACCAAAATTCAAAATTAAAATCAAAAAACTTATTAATGTTTAATTCCTGATTTCTTGGAAATCCAATGAAAGTTTTCTTTGAGACTTTGAGAAAGTGAAAAAACTAAATGATTTTATCGATACATTTTTCATATAATAACACGTAGTATTCCTATTCGTATTCCACGTGATACAATCACTAAAAATTATTTTAAAATAAGCTATTACTATTGATTATTATTTGTTTACAATATTTTATACATTGGTATATTCGTTAATATAATAAAGTTAATTAAATATTATCCCAAAACAGGAAATCATTTTAAATATCGAGTCTATCCTAAACAAATTGCCATCTCAAACAGCTAATGAAATTCGATTTGAAACCGCAAAAAATGCTTTAAAAATCCACACCTCCTAAATCTTATATTAAAAAGCCTCCAAAATCTCTAAAATCTACTCTGTTACATTAAAACCTATATTTGCTCTGAACGTAAAAACATTGAAAATTTAAATGTTAATGTCTTTAGAGTAACCAAAATCATTTACATTAAAATTGCTTTTTGCCTTGGATTTTGAGCAGTTTTTAAGAATTTTAAGAATTAAAGCCAATAATATATAGACTCACAACAATTGTTGTCTTAATTTAAAGAAAGAGGAATGGTATTGTACAGTTAAAGTTTAAATTGTTAGCGTTTGTCCTATACGTTACTTTATTTGTCAAGTAACGTGGACTGTTATGGAAAAATACCAAAGAGTATAGTCTACGCCTGTTCTGCATATTCAGCCATTCAGGCATCCAGTAGTTTGCGCGAAACTGGATCATATTTCCAGTTTTTTTCTACTCTCTCAATTCTATTTGTGTCGATTTTATCTAAGCATGGACCATACAAAATGTCACAATAATTAAAATAACTTAACACTAAATAAAGAATCTGCTACTTTTGCGAAGTTAGCGCCAAAATTTCCCGGCCTGACATAGATGCAACTCCAGTATCACAATAAAACTTTGTCTTCTGGCTGCGAAAAAAAAATTGAAATCTTACGTCAAATAGTTTTTTATTGACAGCATTTTAAACAAGACGTGTCCAAAAAAATGTCACACATAACGCAAATTGAGTATAGAGCAGTCATAAAGTTTTTGATAAAAGAAGGGCTAGCACCTAAAATTATTAAAGAAAGGCTGGATGGTGTGTACAGCCAAAGTTCTCCTTCATATTCTGTAGTGAAAGAATGGGCAAAACGTTTTCGAATGGTGCAGGAATCCCTTGAAGATGATTCAAGAACTGGTTGACCAGTGGAGGTCATAACGGAAGATATTGTTGCGATTGTGGAAGAGGTGGTATTGAATGATCGACGTTTAAAGGTCGAGGAAATCTCAGAAATTACTAAGCTTTCTGATATAAGTGTTCGTCGAATCCTGCGTGATCACTTAGGTATGCATAAGGTTAGTGCAAGATGGGTTCCTAAAAACCTTTCGGCTATTCAATGACAACGCCGTGTCGGGTGTGCGCGGTCTTTTTTGGAACTCTGTGGGTCGGAACCGAAATCTGTGATAGAAACTATTGTGACGGGAGATGAAACTATGGTTCTCTATTATGACCCTCTATCGAAAAAAGAATCAATTGAGTGGCGTCGTAAGGGTGAAGCAACTCCAAGAAAATTCAGCGTCTGCCAGTCAACAAAGAAGGTGACGGCCACGATCTTTTGGGATTGTGAAGGAATTCTTTTGATAGATTTTAAAGAAACTACCACCACTATCATTGGTAAACGTCGAGGAAAACTGACCAGAGGCGTGCGTTTTCTGCACTATAATGCACCTGTCCATACTGCTGGTGTTGCACAAGCTGCTATTTTAGAATGTGGGTTCCAACAGATAGATCATCCTCCCTACAGTCCAGTTATGGCGCCCAGCAACTATTATTTGTTTGGATATTTGAAAAAGGACTTACGTGGACGGCAGTTTAACGACGAAGTTAAAAGAGACTGTTTTAGCTCATTTTGCAGACAAACCAAAAGAATATCTTTTTAAAGAGATGTAATAAGTGTATTGAAGTTAAGGGGGATTATATTGAAAAATAATAAAAATTATTACTCTACTTTGTTTCTTTCATATTGAGGCCGGGCAATTTTGGCGCTGCCCTCGTATTTTTTGAACTTCAGACAAGTAGCTGTCTAAAACGAAAATCTGTAATTATTCTTAGACCCAAATTTTTGAGCCAATTTGTAAACTGGAAATCTGCCACCGACGTGTATGTTAAGTTCAGATACCAAACGATACCTATTTGATTCGATTAATCATGACGTGCTGAGAGTTCAGTTAGTTTTTTTACATCTTTACTAATTAATTTTTGCGCCGTATACCAAGTACCGGGGGCAAACAAATCCAGTACCTGAATATCATCAGCATAAACAGTATGACGTAACATTTTTCATGCATTAGACAAAATTACTGGTGTAAATCGTAATTAAAAGAGGCCCCAGTATGGAACCTTGCGGCACACCGCAACTAACAGCTAACTAGCTGATTGACCTAGACTTGTCTCGACATATTGCATTCGGTCACTAAGATAATTACTTATTAACATTTTGACCATATCCATATAATCCCATATAGTTTAAAATAGCTACCAACGAAAAATCGGAGATTCTATAGAAAAATATGAGCAACCGATATGGAAAATTTTTCAAAGAAACTTCCACACTTCTGGATTCCTCCTGCGTCGGTTTTTGTTGAATCAAACTTGCTGACGTTTCGCCAGTCATCCTGTTGGCTTCTTCAGAGCATAACTGAAACTGGCTCGCATTTTACTTTGTACTTGCTTATATACGTTCATCAACTAACAACACCAAATGCATGAGGGATGTTATAAATAAAAATAGAGAAATCCACACAGGAAAGCCCTCATCAGATATCATAACCGCTGATGCATTCCACACTTATTTTGCAAATATAGGTCAGTCTCTTGTGAGTAAGGGTACTGCGTTCAATATAGGTCCCATTTCATATTTGGATAAAATTGAACTATCATCTCATTTTACGCTTGCTAAACATAGTTTTAATGAACTTAGGGAAATCATAAATAAATAGTCTCAAAAATAAAAATAGTCGAGACGTATTTGGCATAAGCACGCGGTTAATAAAGCCTGCCAAGAATGAAATATTACTGTCTTTCACAAAACTTATAAATTTAATTATTCAATTCATTTAAAAAAAAGCTGTATAATACCAGTATTTAAAAAACATAATCATGATGTTTAAAATTATTATTAACAATTATTATATGAATTAAACAATTTTCAAATTAATGGCATTTTTAATAATAATCAGTTTGGTTTTAGAAGAAATTAAAACACTGTTTCAGACGTTCTCAATTTAGTTTCAGATATTAATTTTTCAAATAGCAGTCAGGTTGATTAAGTACTCTGGAGTGACATCAGCAAAGACTGATTTGAACATTGGAGTGCTCCAAGGCTCAATTTTGTGCCCCATATTATTTTAAATATATATAAATCACCTTCCTCTTGTGGATCCTATATCGATTTACACACTTTTTGCTGATGACACCACTGTGTCTGTTTCTGGGGATTCATTGGAAGACACGTTGGAGAGTTCCAAGATCTCACAGGAAAAGGCTGAACACTGGTTTAGTGCAAATAAAATACTTTTAAATAACGATAAAACAGAGAGAGAGAGAGTGGTGTCTTCCATGGGAAATTTAAGTACAGTTAGTCTTGATAAAATAAATACCAGATTTCTTGCAACTATATTGATCCAAAACTTTAGTGAGATTCCCACATAGATTTTGTTGCTCAGAAACTGACTAAAAATTTGTATTTGCTTCTCCTGGTGTGTTACGGACTGCATATTTTGCACCTTTTCATTCACACCTCCTAGATGTGATCTGAATATGGGGCCATGCTGCTGGCAGATTACAAAGAAAAGCAATTGGGATTATTATTGGACTTGATTATCGGGAGGACTGACAAAATGCGTTTCGAGAATTGGAAATTCTTACATTGCCCTCGTTGTTTATCTTAGAAAATCTAACGGGTGATTCAATAAGAGTTTCCACATTACAATCTGAAATATTTTTGAAACGCCACTGTATTTGTTTATTATCATATGATATTTCTAACCTCAAAACATAAACAAAATTAGTCATGGAGCAATATACGACTGAACAACGTGTAAAAATTGTGCAAGCCTATTATGAAAATGCTCGATCAAGAAAAAATGCATTTCGGGTTCTACGTGAATTTTTCGGCGCGCAAAAACGACCTTTTGAGAGGACAATTTGGAATGTGGTTCAAAAATTTGAGCAAACTGGATCTGTAACTAACCTCAAAGTCCCTCAACGTGCTCGTGCAGGTCCGTCAGATCAAAATATTGCCATTGTTCGCAAAAGTGTAGCCGAAGATCCAAACACATCGATTCGTCATTGATCGCAGCAAGTGGGCCTTACGTATTCAACCACACAGCGAATTTTAACAAAAGACTTGCATCTACACCCTTATAAAGTCCAAATAACTCACCTTTAGCGATGAGGCACATTTTCACGTAGGTGGCTTTGTAAACAAACACAATGCTCGTATTTGGGGATTAGAAAATCAACATCCAGATGCCAGGAGTTTACTGCATTCCATGCATATGCGGCATGTAATCAACTCTTTTACTTTTCTTTTATTTTACTATAAGCAACCTAACAATCTTAACCGCGACTCCGAGATGGTTTTATGCATGAAGCTCCGCCCCCTCAAAAGACTCAAATATATAAGCAGGTGCAGAGTAAAATGAGAGCCAGTTTTAGTTAAGTTCTGAAGCAAGTTTGATTGAACAAAAACCGAATCCAGGAATCCGAGGAATCTAGAAATTTTGTGAAAAGTAACCCCTGGTTTAGCTCCTCCCTTTGCAGTCTGCCTCAGATAGTAAAACCCCCAGAACCCCCGATCGACGATACGGTGCCGTTGATTCGAAGGAAACCGGCAGCGAATTCTTTCAATTGGGACTCGTCCCTCGGCGATCGGTATTTCGTCGCCGCCCCCGTCACATGTTTCAAACACGCCCCCATGGCGGACATTTGGGAAAACATTATGGTCGGCATGAAGGTGGAAGTCGAGAATACGGACTGCGAGAACATGTCGGAGGCGTTCCCCGATTCGTTTTGGGTGGCGACCGTCATGCGCATAGTTGGCTACAAAGCCCAGCTGCGTTACGAGGGTTTCGGCGCAAATGACTCGAAAGACTTCTGGGTCACCCTGTGCTCGAACCAAGTGCATCCGGTTGGATGGTGCGCCACCCGCGGTAAACCCTTGATACCTCCGAAGACGATAGAGAACAAGTACAGCGATTGGAAGGACTTCCTCAGGAAGAGGTTGACTGGTGCGAGGACGCTGCCTTCCAACTATAGCCACAAAGCCAGCGAGAGCTTAAAATCGAGGTGGGACGGTGTGGGTCGCGTCTCACATCGACTAGGTGCCACTTCTGGTTGTCTTGCAGGTTCGACGTCGGCTTGAACCTTGAAGTGGTCGACAAGAATCGCATATCTCAGGTGAAGGTGGCCATCATTCACAAGATCGTCGGCAAACGGCTGAACGTCAAGTATTACGACATGCCACCGGATGATCCGGGCTTTTGGTGTCACGAGGACTCGTCGCTTTTACATCCCGTTGGGTGGGCCAGCAAGGTAACGAAACATTTAATAATAACAGTAACAATAATAAGGATAATAATAATAATAATAATAATAATTTTTATTGTCTAACACATTAACATCCGTTTAGAAGACAATTTCGTCTTAAGAACTATAACTATAATAGGCAGTCAGCTATACTCCAGCAAAGTAATAGCAAAACATACAATCCCTTGTAGTATTTTGAATTTACGTTTATTCAGTGTTGGTAAACTGTGAGTGACTAAAACAAAAAACGTCAATATCATCACAGAAGTCATTAAATAATTTGATCAGCTGATAGAGAGGTAATTTTATTTTAAAAAAATGGTTCTTGCAGAATAGCAATAAAAATAATATTCTTCATTGTCTAACAGATTAACATCTGTTTAGAAGACAATATCTTAAGAACTATAACTATAACTATAATAAGTAGTCAACTATGTCCATTATAGTATTCGAAATTTGAGTGAGTGAGTGACTAAGACAAAAAACGTCAATATCATCACAGACGTCATTAAATAATTTTATCAGCTGATAGAGCGGAAATTTAATCAAAAAAATGGTTCTTGCAGAATAATAATAAAAATAATAAATAAATAACTATAACTATAATAAGTAGTCAGCTATATTCATTATAGTATTTGAAATTTACGTTTATTCAATGTGGCAAACTGTGAGTAACTTAAACAAAAACATTATATTATGCAACAATGCGGTAAACAGCATTTGACTCACGAGCTTATTTGACACGAGCAGAGCGCAGCGGAGCGAGTTTTTAATAAATTAGTGAGTTAATAAGTTTACCGAACGTGTTGCATACTATACTTTTTCTACGACCGTTAGTTTTTGGGTATATTTTCGCAAAACAACACAAATACATTCACTGACATGACCGTCAGAACTAACAAACGTTAAAATTCAAACCGTGCTGTAAAATCCCGGAATTGTCCGAAGTGGCTTGGATCCGTGGGAAACGAAACTGACTTGGTAAAGTGACGCTTCCCGCACGCTAGATCGGTGGGTAATTGGGTACTTTACTGACGGGAGTAGAAAAATAATTTTATCAGCTCATAGAGGGGACATTTAATCAAAAAATTAGGTTTGATGTTCCCTTGCAAAATCTCTAGAATTTCTCACTATGAATCTCAGCATTTTGAGTGCACCTCTACAGGCTTCGTCAAAATGATTTCTGAAAGAGAGTTTTGTGTCAAACCTTACACCAAGGTCTTTAAAATTGACAGTTTTGTTTGAAAATGTCATTATCTGTATTCAGAGGTTGGTTATTAGAGGCACACCATCCCCAAATCATTCTGCAGAGACACGCAGTCGACCACACTTTCAATTATTCTAAGCAATTTCACATTATCAGCAAAGAGCCAAATTCGACTATCAATTTTAGCTACTATATCATTAATGATTTATTATCGATACAGGCCTGTAATTGGATTTATTAGATGTTTTTCCCTTCTTTAGGACTGGATTAATTCTGGCCTCCTTCCAGACGTCTGGAATGATGTTTGTTACTAGGGCTAAATTAAAAATAAGAGACATGGGTTTAAATAAGAATAATAATAACGGTATTTATTTCCAATAATCAAAAAGTCAACAATAAACAATTTAGAAAAAGGTGACATATCACTGACCTGTTCTTCCACCTAACCAGCCTTTCTTATATGAATATAATAGAAAATGGAGGGAACGGTCATTTTTCAGGTCGGTCATCACTTAGTGGCTCCCATAAACTATATAGAGAGGATCAGTCAGGGTATATTCGATGAAGACGACGCGACCGAAGAACTGTTTACGCCAATACAAAAGGGTTCACCTGATTACAGCAATTGCGGATTTTGCGTGGGGATGAAGCTGGAAGCGATAGACCCGCTGAATTTGTCCTCCGTATGCGTGGCCACCGTCATGGACGTCCTAAACTACGGATATATCATGATAAGAATCGATACTTACGCTTCGGATGGAACAGGTAAGCATCCACAATGACTTTTTACCTCACATTTGTTTTTATTCTACGATAACAATCAGTCCATTTGATAGCGATATCATGATATAACTTGTCATCGTAACAAATAATATTCCCGTAGTTCCTTTAAACAAGTGACACTTACGACTGGAAAAAAAGTCAGACATGTTTGAGGAATAAATCAGAATTTCTAATTTGAGTCAGAACATGCGTGAAAAACAAGTTTCTGGAGAATAAGTCAAATATTTGATTTGTCAGGTTTTTGTTTAATAAGATTTTTTTAGGAATAAGTCAGAATTTCTAATTTGAGTCAGAACATGTGTGAAAAACAAGTTAGGATTTCTGGAAAATATTTTAGAATTTCTGTAAAATAAGTCAGAAGTTCTGACGTGTTAGGTTTTATTTGAATGAGGCAATTTTTTGAGGAATAAATCAGTATTTCCGACGCATTAGGTTTTAATTTAATATGACGAATTTTTAGGAATAAGTCAGAATTTCCAATTTGAGTCAGAACATGTGTGAAAAACAAGTTAGGATTTCCGGAGAATAAGTCAGAATTTCTGAAAAATAAGTAAGAAGTTCTGACGTGTTAAGTTTTAGTTGAATGCGGCAATTTTTTGAGGAATAAGTCAGAATTTTTAATGTGCGTCAGAATATATGAATGAGTAAGAATTTCTGGAAAATAAGTCAGAATATCTGATTTGTCAGGTTTTTGTTTAATAAGAAGATTTTTTTAGGAATAAGTCAGAATTTCCAATTTGAGTCAGAACATGTATGAAAAACAAGTTAGAATTTCTGGAGAATAAGTCAGAATTTCTGAAAAATAAGTCGGAAGTTCTGACGTGTTCGGTTTTAGTTTAAAAAAGACAATGTTTTGAGGAATAAGCTAGAATTTCTGTGATGTTATTTTTTAGTTTAATAAAACATGTGTGAAAAACAAGTTAGGATTTCTGTAGAATAAGTCAGAATTTCTGGAATGTAAGTTCTGACGTGTTAGGTTTTTTTAGTTGAATGAGGCAATTTTTTGAGGAATAAATCAGAATTTCTGTCGCGGTAGGTTTTAGTTTAAAAAAGACAATTTTTTGAGGAATAAGCTAGAATTTCTGGATCGTTATTTTTTAGTTTAATAAGAGAATTTTTTGAGAAATAAGTCAGATTTTTGAGTCGTTATTTTTTAGTGTAATAAGACATTTTTTTTAAGGAATAAGTCATAATTTTTAATTTGCGTCAGAATATATCTGTAAAACGAGTCAGAATTTCTGGAAAATAATTCAGAATATCTGAGTTAGGTTTTAGTTTAATAAGGCTAATTTTTGAGTAATAAGTCCGACTTAAATAAGAATTTTTGAAAGACATGTGAGTGAGCTAGACTCCTATCTTTCCTCACATTGCGTAAAAAGACCTGTTTTATTCTAGGTTCATATGCACATTATAGGGGAAAGAAATTCTGACTTGCGAGGTTTACGTTTAATAACGCAAATTTTTGAGAAATAATTTAGAATTTCTGACTTATTTGAGTCTTTTTGAATAATAAGTCTGAATTTCTGGTAAATAAGTCAGAATATCTAATTTGTTAGGTTTAAGTTTAATAACGCAAATTTTTGAGAAATAATTCAGAATTTCTGACTTATATGACTATTTTTTAATAATAAGTCTGAATTTCTGGTAAATAAGTCAGAATTTCTGACTTGTTAGGTTTAAGTTTAATAAGGAAAATTGTTGAGGACAAAGTTTCCAGAAATTCTTACTTATTTTTCAGAAATTTTGACTCATTTCTCAACAATTTCCATTACTAGACTAAAACTTTTATTTTATCACATTACTAATCTAAAATTAAAGACGTGCGCTTAAAATAGACTTTTCGATTTGCTAAGAATAATACTTGACAAACCTTAATATTTTTTATTTTAATATTATTCCGTGTATATAGTGAGTGTATGTTGGAAGATGGTTGAAAGTATATCCATAGAATAAAACGTTAAGAATATAAGTTCAAATTCTTCTTTATGCTACATGAAATAAGGAAGTCTATCTCTATAATCTAATAATCTATCTATAATAATAATGCTACTTTTCTTGTTATGTGACATATTAGTCACTCATATATAGGGTATATTGGTTTTTAGAGAACAAATAAAATATTGCCGTATGATATATGATACTACTTTAAATTATACAGAATTGTACAAATTTGGAGGTTTTTGTGGGTCCCAGTAGGGGTATAAATAAGTGAGCCTGTCAAAAAAAAAGAATAGAATAAAAATGAGGAAAAATTTAATTTGAAGATAAATTTTATCTATTTTTGGTAAATCTTTATTTTCAATTTTTGAAAATTTTAGTGGGGAGTTTGTTTAACATCTCTATCTTCATACAATAAAATTCTACAAATTTTAAAAGTGAATTAAATATCATCAAAAAAATAGCTTTTAGGTTATTCGCCAAACATCCTAGACAAAAACATGATTGTTTAAAAATGATATAATATTTTGACATATTTTGGGAAACCCCGGCGAAAAAATATCCAACTTCCTGAGTAAATAGAATCCAAAAATATCTTATTATATTCAAATATCCTATTAAATGATTGTTTAGGTATTACTCACCCATTGCTATTGAACCTAATTACTTAGCGTTCTAAAAGTAGTACCTTAGATCAGTTTTGGTTAGTTTCATTGTATATATTTATGAAAGTCCTAGTACACAATGTGCTTTCTAAAACCCCATTATGGAGTTTACTTTCATTAAGTATAATTAGTTTTAGTCTAGCGAGTATGTAGGTCATTTTATTAATTAATAGGAGAAAATATTTTTTATAAATACAACTTTAAATATCAATTTACTGTTTCAATAACCTTACTTGCCATGTCATTAAGATCTGATCCGTATTTAGTCCATATCATAATTGAGTAAACGCCAATAAAACATGAAAAAAGAGATAATTTAATTTGTTGTTTCGATTTGCAGAAAGAAACGTTGAGAATTGTGCGAAAGGTAACCCACATTTAATTCTTTCAGAGGATTCGATTGTTTCCCTTAGCATGGCAGTACCGGCTGATCTCCATTAAGTGTTCGTTATTGGTAACTTTGTTATTGAGTAGAGAAACAAAGTCAGTTAAATTAGCAAACTAGTAAAATGTAGGGTTTAGGAAATAATAAGGAAAAGATGCTCTTTTTAAATGGAAAACCCTGTATATTTTTTAATCTAACATTAGTAAGCTACCAACAGAACAAAAAACTAACCAAAAAATCATCAAGTTCGTTTGAGCTTTAAAGTTTGCTGCGGTATAATTGGTGTTCGCATTGGATGGCTTTCTAGATGAGCTTGACGTTATAAATAGGCAGAATCTGCATTTCCAACAAGATGGCGCACCATATTCTTTGGCCTCCTAGATCATCAGATATAAACCCACTGGAGTACTACTTTTGAGGGGTGCAATAAGAGAAAAACTAAACCAGATAGATGGTTGAACAATACGAAAGGCTATTCGCTCGATAGAGAAACGTGCTCAAAAATATATTGGGGTACTAGTCTAAAATAGAAATGTGCTGATAATTCTGTTATTATCAATTTTGTTGGTGATTTACGAACCTAAGAGTAAAAAATATACAGGGTGTTACATTTCAAAAGAGTATGCGTTCAATTTACCTCCATAGTATTTGAATTGGCTGTAACTTTTTTGTTTTTATAGGTATCAAGGTAAACAAAAAAAAATGTATCACTATAAATATATTTTTAAATGAAACACCCTGTATATTATATATGTGTTATATCATATGGGACATATCATTTTGGACAATTAATAAAATTTAATTCGTCGGTACTTTGAAGAGGGATGTTTTCCGGATGAATTAAAAGTGACAAAAATTGTTCCACTCCATAAAAAAGTGGATACAAATATCTTAGATAATTTCAGACCCATAGCAATCGTTCCTATCATTGGAAACATTTTTGAGTCGATAATAAAAGATAAATTTATGGCTTACTTTGAGGGAAGGAAATTATTAACAGATTCCTAATTTGGTTTTCGGTCGGGTAGGTCCACCATCGGTAACGGTAACGATGTGCGACCTCAGCAAGGCATTCCACTGCGTGGATACTAATATACTTCTTTCTAAACTTGAATATTAAGGAATTCGTGAAAGCACCCTAGCCCTTTTAAAACCCTATTTGACCGGAAGAAAGGAATTTGTTGTCTGGAATGATCGGGAATCCACTCTGTTGGACATTACTAATGGAGTGCCTCAGGGTTCCATCCTTGGTCCACTTTTGTTTATAATATACATAAACGACGTAGAAAAAGATCTAACTGATTCAAATAAAAAGGGCTGTCACTACACTCTTCATGATTGAGCAGTGGATAAAACAAAGACTCTAATTTTCAATACCAATAGAAGCAAAAAATCTGAACTCCTTGGTGTTTACCTAGATGCGTTTTTAACCTGGTACTTTATTTTGCACTGTTTCATAGTGTCTTATCATATAGGCTACTATTGTGGGGGGAACGCGACGGAGGCTGAGAGAGCCTGCAGAAGTTCGGGTTCTTGGGGGTGTTCCGCCGTCCAGCCACCGCCGCCCAATATTCAAAAAATTAAAAATACTTTTTTTATTCTCCAAACTTTGGTTGAAATTTGTCTGTCTTTCCGGCTCATGCTGGATATCACAGCTACATGACTCGAACTTAATCTAGATTTGTATAATATTTTTGCAAACACTCTTTTTCGGTCCAAAAATATTGATGTTAAATGACTTTCCATTAAAAAATTCAAACAATTATCAAAAAAGTTTGAAGAGCATTGGTTTTTATTCTATAAACGAATTTATTACACATCAGGTACAGTATATCTAAGTTATTTTATAAATTAGTTATTCTTAGAGTGTACCTATATATACAGAGTTTTACTTTCTAGTTGCATTGGTTCAACTGTTTCTACTCTTCCTGACTTCAAAAATACGTTTTTGACAAATCGGCAAAATAGGAAATTTTTATATAATTTCGAACAAAAAAAAAATGTTTTATGTTTGACATATCAGTAAACAACGTTGATGGTTGAATTATTGTTCAAGTCCTTATTGTTAAAATGCTTTTTTTTACCTTAACCAGAGCGTCGAGCTCCATCAAAACAGATATTTCGAAGGCTGACAAAGAAATTTGCTGAAAACGGTAACGTATTAAATGCTGTAAAGGTGCTGGAATCATAATTTTTTAAATGAAGAAAATAAAGCAAACATTAGGATGATTCTATGAGTTTCCTCTATTACTAGAGTTTATGAAGAGACAGGTATTTTTCGGGGATAGATCCACCCAGTTTTGAAAGAATATAAATATAATGCATTTAAATTTCGTTTTGTTTGGATTTTTTAAATAGACTTATTAAGAAGAATAATTTTTTGAAAAATATTTTATGGACTGATGAAAGTTCGTTCACTATAAGAAATGGTTGTAAAAGAGAAAATACGCTATATTAGTCTTTAGATGAATCTAGACAAATACACTCAATAAAAACCCAGGGGTACCAATCAATTAATGTATGATGTGGTGTCATAAATGGGCATGTTTTGGGTCCAATATTTATAGGTCAAAAATTAACTGGAGATCATTATTTGCAACTCTCAGAGCACCAAATAGAATAATATATAGAAGATTTACTCCTAAATATATCACCGTTGATTATATGGCAGCAAGGCGGTACCCCTCCTCACAATGTTGTGCAAGTTCAAAATTTTCTTAACATGGAATATCCCATGGATTGGATAGGGAACGGCGGAACTATGGATTGGCCAGCCAACAGCCCCGACTTTAATGGATTTTTTCTTTTGGGGACACATAAATTATCATATGCACAGAACTCCTTGTAGTAATGTCGTGGAACTTTGCAAAGGATTTCAGAGGCAATCAATTAGTTAAGAAACAATTCGGAAACGTTACTAAGTGCATGACATCATACAATTAGAGTGTGTGAGAAATGTGTTTAGGAAAATGGTGGTCACATGCAGTAGTACTTAGAATAGTTAAAGAATTTTTTACTTTAGTGTGTCTTGTCATTTTTAGAGTTTTTGTTATACTTTAATTTGTAAATAATCGTTGTTGCAGTGAGTCACGGCACTCTTTGAAATTGTATAAAAAATTTCTATTTTTGCCGATTTGTCAAAAACGAGTTTACGAAAATATAAAGTGTGTTACATCAGAGTAAGATCACGTCAAGTGGACCCCCCATTTACCACTTGAAATTAAAATTTGACGCGCTTTTAATTAAAAAATGGATTAAAAATCAACCGTATGAGATAAATGTATGAAATTTTTCACATCCATGGTCAAATGTCTATACTTTAAGAATATATATTGACGACTTAAAATTATTTGTTTATTTTCGTATTATTAACTAACTTTTAAGTTAACAAATGAAAATTTAACTCATTTCTTGGTAAAAAAAATCGGTCACATGCTTTATCCATTCAAGTTTAAGATTCCGGACGAAAATTGCACTGCTTGTCATTAGTTTAAACAAAATGAACTTAGTTATGACAGCCCCCCAGTCGCCGAGCGTCTCAAACTGCATTTCAATATAAAAGAAATGTTGTTAAAATAAAAATTTTCAAAAATCGTTTGAGGGTGCAATTTTCTATCATAAGTACTTATAAAATATATATATATAGATTAAATTTTTATGATCAAGTGGTAAATGGTGTTCCACGTGACGTGATCTTACTCATCATTCAATACATATATAATGTACAGGGTATTCTATTTAAAAAATATAATGATAGTGTTTTGTTTTATACGTCACTTGGAAAAAAACTTGGCCACTAATTCTACATTTTGTTTTTTTTTTGTTTGCGTTGATATCTCTAAAAACAAAAAAGTTCCAGCCAATTAAAATATTATCAAGACAAATTAAACGCACCCGACATTTTCCACATTTTTTCCTAAACCCCACATTCAATTGCTTTCCTGTTTTCACCATCGTAATCAGTGAAAAAAATGCTGCTACTTTGCTAATTTACTCAATAACAAAGTTACCAATGATGAACGCTCAATTTAGGTCAGTCTGTATAGAGAAAACGAGAAATTTAATTGAATTTTACGTTCGCATGGTATCTAGTTTTCGTAGTTTTTTTTTTCGATGTCCCATTTTACCGACGTAGCAGAAACATTGTTGTATCGAATCTTAGGTGTCGATTGGTTCTGTTACCACATCAAATCGCCGTGCATATTCCCGGTCGGCTTCTGTCAGAAGCACAATATTCCCCTGACTCCGCCTCGCGGCTACGACTCGATGACGTTCGATTGGAACTCGTATCTCGTCGAGACGCATCAGGTCCCTGCTGATCCCTTACTGTTCAACACCTACGTGCCTCTGCACGGGTTCGTGCCCGGTATGAAGATCGAGGCCGCCGATTTAATGGACCCTAGATTGGTTTGCGTGGCTACGGTGGCGAAGGTTGTCGGACGACTGCTCAAAGTAAGTCAAACCTATAAACTTATGTGTACCAAACTGAGTTACTACGGCTTAGATGATGTTTAGACTCGATTTTTTCAGAACTACTTAGTTAACAGATTTCAGAAGTTACCCTGGACAATGTAAGTTCTGAATTTCTCCCTGTTTCTTCAGGTGTACCCCAAGATTCCGTCCTTGGACCTATATTATTCTTAATTTATATTTCTGATATGTACACATCCATCGAATATTTGAATTTGTATTCATTTGCTGATGACACTCAGCTATTTTACTCCTTCGATCCTAAATTATTTGATATTGCTTCAATTTATATCAATTTGGATTTGCATAACTTATTTCTATATTCTTCTAGGTATAATCTTCAACTTAATGATAAAAAATGCAGTGTAATGTTCTTTTGTCCTAAACCTAACATTAAATGAGTATCCCAAATGTATTTATTAATTAACGGTGAACGTTTGAAAATTGTGAATTGTAATAAAAACCTTGGTATTATATTTAATTATACACTTAGAATCGTGGAACATGTATCCTTGTTGATGAAAAAGTCTTATTTGGTTTTGCGTCATTTTTACGGGCAAATTGAATAAAAATGAGGAAAAGTTTAATTTGAAGGGAAATTTTATCTATTTTTGGGAAATCTTTATTTTCAATTTTTGAACATTTTAGTGGGGAGTTTTTTTAACACCTCTATTTTCATACAATCAAATTCTACAAATTTTAAAAGTGAATTAAATATCATCATATCTGAGGGTTCTGGTTAATGGTTAATTATGAAATCTTAAAGCGGAATATCATTAAATGTGAGTGAGTGAGGGGTCTGCCTTATAGCTGGCTGTCCTCATGTGCGACTCTAAAAATACAAGAGATCTGAAAAGTTACGATGTACATTTAGGAAAATCTAAAAAAAATACGCTTGTTGATGTCAATGTCAGTTTGTTATATGTAGGTATGTATGTTTGAAGTGCTTAAAATACTTACTTGCGTTACATTACGTCACTTTCGTCTCACATTACACTAACAGTTTATTATGGTATTAACGATGTTAGATAATGTTAGACTATGGATGTACTATGTAGTGTGTTAACGCTTTATTTTCTAACAAGCAGAAGAATGTGAATATAAAAATAAATGCTATCCAAGACAAACCGAAAAAAAAGGGGGCATAATACAAATCTTCTAGATTCCTAGTGCGTTAGTTGATAAATCGAACTTCCTGACATTTCGCCAATCGCCCTGTAGGCTTCTTCGGAGTTTAACTAAAACTGGCTCACAGTCTACTCTGTCCCTGCTTATATACTGCTCGAGGGGGCGGGACTAAAGGATTGATTAGAGTGTGTTAAGGATTTTCGTATTATTTTTTGATGGAATTATATACATGCAACAATTTTAACATCCTAAAGCTGTCCTTACATTCCAAAGTAGATAAAGGAAATGCTACAGTCATAACTGATGATGAGGACAGTTCCTATCGTCAATGTCATGTTAAAGTTTATTCTTTATTAGAATCCGTCACACCTCACTACTCAAAAATTCCTCGAACTCCCTAATATTCACAAATTAAGCTTACCAGTCCAGCCTATGGTTAGCACTATTGATTCTCTAGCAAAATATCTAGCTTCTTTCTTCCTTCACGGGGCGAACTGATAGTTTCCCACTTAACTCCTTTAACTTCATTGAACAATTAAAAAGCATTACATTAGATCCAAACGATATTCTGGTTAGTTTCGGTGTACATTACATGTACATTAATCAAACCTTAATTTGAATTGAAAAATGTTTGTCTGGGATATATTTTTCTTGTAACGTTCAAATTTATGAGGAACAGCTATGGGTTTTCCATTATCACCAGTCATAATAAATATATGTATATCTAAAACTAAAATTATGGGACCGCTATGTTGATGATACTTTTGTTATATGGACTCGTGTTCAAGAATCTCTAGTAGATTTTCTCAGACATTTATCAAACAAATACCGATACCTGCATTGTCACATCACCAACCGGCCCAAAAAATCATCGGTTATCAACTCTCGTGTTTACATAGCCGTAGAACTATATCAACCCTCTTCTGTCTAACAATCTCCACATGCGAGATATAATGCATTCCATCACAAAATACGCTTCACAACACACCTTAACTAGAAAATAAGTCTAAAAGTGACCCCACACTTGCCACTGTGCCCCTTTATGTCCTTCATAACATCACTGATCACATATCAAATTTTGTTGTCAATGTTTTCTTGGACAACCACCGATTTTGGACGACCTTCACGAAATTCATCCTTAAGAAATCTACGACCACAACAGAAGTCCGAAAACCAGCGATAAACAGTAGTCCTATACGGTGTTTTAACTCCAAAAGTCGAATTAAGTTCATCGATGCATTGTTGTCGAAGGCACGTCTAAAGTTGTAAAAAATTATTGCACGAAAAATTTATTACAAAAAACACAACACCCTTTCGCCAAAAACCTAACTGAGTAAATCTAAACTCAAAATGTCAAATTCCCTATAAAAGCGTTAGCTGCTAGGTGGCAGGACTAGTTTAAGAAAATCCCCGAAATATGAAAGAAGATGATAAAGTTTAAATTTCATTCCTATAACATCGTAACAAATTTTCCATGCTGGCTTTCTCGTAACATTTAGATTCATTTCGATGGTTGGGAGGAGGATTACGACCAATGGTTAGACTGTGAGAGTTCGGACATCTATCCGGTCGGTTGGTGTCAGAGCGTGGGCCATAAATTGGAAGGACCGCCTGCAGTCGCGAAGCCAACTACACCGGTCGTCAAATCTCCGAAAGGTATGGTCTGTTCATAAATATAAGAAAGTGACCAATTGCTTTCGGAATTTAAATTCAGATAAAATTGTGGTCCGTAATAGAAAATAATTTTATACCTACCTTTGTTTAATATTCTTTGGTTTGGTATAATACTTAGTTTAAGTTTATTAGTAATCATTCTTATTTCATGTGTAATAACAGCGTGTGTTGAATCGTGTGCGAATTATGCAAAATATGTGCGAGTCTAGTGTATCTCAAGAGATACTCCCGCCCAAATGTAGAAAACACTATTCTATTGAGACTAAGGAAGTTATAAACAATATTTATTTGACTCTCATTGAACGTGGTGCCAGCAGCAAGCATCTTTAGAAGAAACAGCCAGATTGACGAAAATTCCAACATCGAATGTATTTAAAATTGTGAATAATCCCATTTCAGCGAGGAAAAAAAGAAGTGATGTTGACATTTTCTCGTGTGTAGATGAAAGTGATCAAGATATAATACGGCGTAAAATTTACCAGTTATACGAGGAACAAAGCGTGCCTACATTAGATATCTTAATTAGGAGGATTGAAAAAGATGAAACCGGTGTTAAATGTGGCAGAACTACCTTATGGAAGTGTATTCAACACATGGGTTTTAGAGTTAAAAAAATTGACAAAAGTCAAGTTTTAATGGAATTTTTTAGAATTCGGAAATGGCGACTGGAATATCTAGAAAAAATTAGGATTTACAGAGAACAACAAAGGCCAATTATTTACTTGGATGAAACCTGGTTCGACACTTATGATACCCTGGAAAAGGGTTGGGTTGACTCAACTGATAAGTGCAAAACAAACGCGCCATCAAAAAGAGGTAAAAGAATAACTATTTTGCATGCTAGCTGTAAAGATAGTTGGATTCCAAATGGACTTTCTCTGTTTGCGAAAGATATTACAAACACGTCATCAAAAGAGGTAAAAGAATAACTTATAGAAACCGAAGTTTTTAACATCCTTCCGCAAAGTTGGGCAAATTCTGTTAAACATATAGAAAAAGCAGAACGATGGTATATCCATATTGCAAATAATATAGAACAAATAATAATTAGAACAATTAGGTAATAAAAATAATTAATAATTTGTAATTTTATTTTAGATTTAAACATAAATACATACATAAATAAATAAATATTTTTTAGTATCTTTCCTAACAAAACCCCAAATAATTAAATTATAAGCAAAGTACGGACCTGTTCGGCCATATTTCATTCTTACAGCTTGCCCGGGTCTTTCCTTAAGTCGTATCAATTAGTCACTTTCTTATATTTATGAACAGACTTTAAATACTAGGATTCCCGTGCGTGGTGGTGGGGAGGCGTAATTGAAATTTGGTTTCAGTGAAAAGGAGAAATAGGAAAAAGAAGCACAAAGAAGGACCGAAAAGTACCACGTCGTCGACGTCCCAAACTATGAAAATACCAAAGGTTACCGTTACCGATAATTTTCCCCCCCGCAAAAACTCAAAACATTTTCTATTCCTGCAGGACGAACAGTTTTACGAGCAGGAGGCGGCGGAAGACTTGGACGACATGTCTATAAGCGGCGACATCAAAAGCGAGATTAGCGAGGACAATCATGGTTCCGAAAAGGGCCAGGAACCCGCGGGGCCAGACCAAAACTTGTCCGTGGCGACTAACGAAAAGGTCACTTCGGAAAAGAGGCAACCGGCCTACAGCGTAAGTGTTATTATTTTCTAATAATAAATTATTATTTTCTAATAATAATTGGAAAACTAACCAAAACTACTGAGAGCGTAGAAAAGAGTTTCCTGGGTTGTCTTGTCCATCCTTATAATTCTTCAGCACTTTCGCTAAATCCGTGGAAAAATTTTTGATTCACCATGTATAATTTAATCGCCCTGCCGCATTATCATAAGCAAGCTGTCGAGATTAATAAAATGAGATATTGGAATCTATTACTGAATGACCAATCGGATTTATTTAAATGCGTCTCCGCTGCTAAATTTAAATTTGTAACCCCACTAATTAAGAATTTATTACTATTATTAGTACAGTAGAACCTCGATTATCCGGGCCAGCCAGGACCGAGCCTTCGCCGGATAATCGAAAACACGTATAATCCAAAAACCCTTTTTAAGATTTTTTTTTAAATTGATTGCGATAAGTGCATGTGAGTAAGATCACGTCAAGTGGATCCACCATTTACCACCGAGCGCTGCGAAAGCGCCGCGCTGCCTAGCGTCTTGAACTGCATTGAAGGTTTTATCAGTGATAATTTAAAATAATAATAGAAAAAATTATTATAAAACAAATTTTATTGTTATTTATGTTATTTTATTATAATTGTTATTGATAAAAAAAAATTAACAATGTTATAAAGAATACTATAAAAAAAAATTATTTTTACCAAACAGCGTAAATTTAGAAAAAAATAACCAACTTTAAATTTTTAAAACTGTTGTGGTCTATATTTGTTTTCTGGGTAATTTATTAAATTATAATAAATCGGGTTCGCATTTTTTAGGCTAGTTTTAAAATAACTACCCAAACCGAACTAACCAAAACCGATGTCGTAGTTCGAGAGAAATTCGTTATACAGAGTGGATTAATACAATACATGTATGGAGACCTAATGGTACAAAAAATTTTGTTCGTAATACAGGGTTTTACGTTATACAGAGTTTCGCTATAATTAAAATATTAATTTTTTAAATTTATTAAAAAATGTGCATTAAGGGGTAAACAAAAGATTAAGGCAATCGTCTTTTTTTTTAATTTTAGTCGTCCAGCAGCTGTAGCTCAAAATTGATACCCCGCCTGATCGATAATTCTAGTAGTAGTTGCGACGTGTCGGAACTTTGTCCCGACGACTGGGCCGTTTCTGACGTAGTCGAGTTCATGCGGATCAACGATTGTGCCAATTACTGCGAATCGTTCATGCGAAAGGTAACGCCGGGTGGTTAGTTAGACGCGCGTGACGTCATTCGATTTTTTTTTTTTTTAGGAGGTCGACGGAAAAAAGATGCTGAACCTGACCAAGGAGGACATCATCGATTACACGGGCGGCAAAGTCGGACCGAGTTTGAAGATATTCGACCTCATCCAGCAGCTAAAAATCAAAGTGAATCCGGCGCAGTCGCGTCACATGAACTTCAAAGCCAATATCAAAAAGTTCTTATAGTGCCTAAACATACACTCACCTACTCGTAGTTGTAAAATGATTTGCTCTTTTAATGGGTGCTCGAACTGTGCTTCATGGTAGTTACGGTCGGTATATGTTCACCAAGGATGGCATTTTTTTGTTGAAATAAGTTCTCATTCGATCTTCATATACCGCTTCCTACCATATGGGAACTAGATACATTGCATGTAGAGGCTTTATTTAACACTCGCAGTGAATGTTTTGGCGCGTTTGGTTTGGTTGGCAAATAATCATTTTATTCTTAAAAAATTAAGAAAACTGCCCAAAATAAACATACCTGGTTTGCTGGAATTACCGTGGGAATAAGTTCTTCATAAAAAGCTAACCGAAACTAATCTTTTTCCATTTTCATCGGTCTTTTTGATGTATTTGTTTTTCTTTTAACGTACCTAGTAAAAATGTCAGATACACCTTCGCGCGAAGTAGTAAGCTACGATCCCATTTGGTTGCTGATGCTTTTTCGAAAGTTTTTTTTTATTTTAAGTTCACTTTTTTGTGCTGTATGTTCATTTCGAAGTAGTAGGTCGTTCATTAAATCATCTTCATCGGCAGGAGTTTGTGGAAACCATAATAGTCTTCTTTGGATGCCAGTTCTCCCCTTTTTAAATTCATGCAAGATTTCTTTAGGTAAATGGCCCTTAATGTTCCTATAACATTTTTCTAATAAAGGTCCTGGGTAGTATAAACGTTATTTACCTAAATTGTCCTTCCTTGATCCAAAAAATCATCCAAATGCTTCGTACGAACATTCTAAGGTTCTATCAATACATATATGTTTTACCCAGAACAGAATAGATCTTCAAATTTTTGTTGTAACGGACTTACGGAATTTTGAATCTGGCCCAAGCAATTTTCTTGCCCCATTTCCCATACTAAAGAGCAATACGCTTAATACATTTTCTTACTAAACGGCAATATCCAAACACTTAACTCGTTTCCTTACTAATCAAGCGATATCTAAACACTAACCTTTTTTCCTTACTAAACAGCGATATTCAAACACTTAACTCATTTCTTTACTAAACAGCGATATCAAAGTCCTTAACCCGTTTCCTTATTAAATAGCGATATCCAAATAGTCAACCCTTTTCCTTATTAAACAGCAATATCCAAGCACTTAACTTGTTTCCTTACTTATCAGCGATATCCAAACACAACTCGTTTCCTTACTAAATAGTGATATCCAAATACTTAACCCGTGTCCTTACTAAACAGCGATATCCAAATTCTTATCAAACACTCAACTCTTTTCCTTACTAAACAGCAATATCTAAACACTCAACTCTTTTCCTGACTAAACACCGATATACAAACGCTTAATTTGTTTTCTTACTGAAAAGCGGCATCCATACACTCAACTCTATTCCTTACTAAACAGCGATATCCAAAAACTCGTGTCCTTACTAAACAGCGATATCCAAATTCTTATCCAAACACTCAACTATTTTCCTTACTAAACAGTGATATTCAAACACTCAACTCTTTTCCTTACTAAACAGCAGTATCCAAACACTTGACTCGTTTCCTTACTAAACAGCGATATCCAAATTCTTATCCAAACACTCAAATGTTTTCGTTACTAAACAGCTATATCGAAACACTCAAATGTTTTCCTTACTAAACAGTGATGTCCAAACATTTAACTTGTTTCCTTACTAAAAAGCGATATCCAAACATTCAACTCTTTTCCTTACTAAACAGCGATATCCAAACACTCAACTATTTTACTTACTAAACAGTGATATTCAAACACTCAACTCTTTTCCTTACTAAACAGCAGTATCCAAACACTTGACTCGTTTCCTTACTAAACAGCGATATCCAAATTCTTATCCAAACACTCAAATCTTTTCGTTACTAAACAGCTATATCCAAACACTCAACTGTTTTCCTTACTAAACAGTGATATCCAAACATGTAACTTGTTTCCTTACTAAAAAGCGATATCCAAACATTCCACTCTTTTCCTTACTAAACAGCGATATCCAAATACTTAACTCGTGTCCTTACTAAACAGCGATATCCAAACACTTAACTCTTTTCCTTACTTTTTGAAATGACAGGTTTTATTGGCTAGTTGTGCCTTGAAAGATTTGTGCTGGCACATATTTTTCATAGTAGTTTCAAAAGTTCTTGTATTATCAGCATCTGCTAAAATAGCTCACAAACTCAATAAAATCCTCAATAACCTCATATACACAAATAGGTTATGGTTCTTCTTCTTTTTCTATGGATTTATAGAAATACGTTATTAGCATATGAGGAGTCGTGACTTCATAAATAATGAAAATAAAATTTAAAAAAATGTGAACATTTTTTTTCTTGACTTTGTTCCTAATTTTGTCGCTTTTTAGTAAAAAATATTAACAATACAATTTCTTTATGCATTTCCTTAATTTCATCGCAAATAGGAGAGTGGTTGCGTTTTCTTTTTATTAGTAATCGAAGTTAATCAAGTTATACAAAAGTTGTAGTGTTCAAAATGTGTGTGTGCCAATTTTGAACTACTACCATCGACATTGAAATTTCGACAGATTTTAACTCAAAATTCCGATTTTCAATTCTTCCTTTTTTTACTTAGTGACAATGACGTGAAGTTCTCATTATAGTTTTTTTTGGATGAAATTACAAAAATGAAATTTCAATATTATTGGTGATGGTAGTTTAAAATTGGGCCACCTTGTACAAAAAACAAGTGCTTTTGGTCTTTCTATAATGTTGCTTGATAATTTTGGTAACTTTATTTCAACTACTCTGGCACTTAATTAACCATCAGCAGAGGAATCAAAGCTTCAATCAAGATTGTGGTCTGAACTTTCTAATTAAGTGGCATTTTTATGTATTTTATTTGTCTGTAAAGACTAAGAACTATTTCGACAGGTTTTAACTTAAAATTGAGAACATTACGATTTTCAATTCTAATTTTTTCTAAAAAAAAAACGAGTAACAATGACTTGAAGTACTCGTTATGAGTGTTATTTTTTTGTACAAAATTGTTAATATTTCTTAGTCCCTTTCTGATAAATTTGACGACTTTAACCTATATGAAAAAATGGACACATTATATTGAGAGTGTTTTCGCCCATTTCATGTAATTCGAACAGTATTACATCGACCCCATTAATGGAGCAATGTCATTCGAGGGCCTTGCAAGGCTCCACGTAGCCCTTAATTTTATTATAGACACATTTTGTACATATATAAGTATAGTATTATTAATATACAAGATAGTTGGGTAACGATTGAGAAATATTTATGAAACTACGGCAGTATTTAGTTAGGGTTTTCTCTTTTTCCGCGTGCGATTTTTTTGCCCGTTTGCCATTTATTTCGGTTTTTGTGAGTGCCTTGTTTGCAGTCGTTATCGCCAATTAGTTTTTGACAGACGACCAGGTATTGTTGGAAATGTCACAAATAAAATAATTAATTTTTTTATACTATAAGTCACCTATTTTTCTTTTACAGGGTTTCCCCACCTCAAAGGACGGAAAATATACCGTGCCGCCAGACAGGCCGGTACATTTGAACTACTCCGCACGCCTGGCGTATCTCATTATACGTGCATATATGTTGAGCATAATAAGGACATATTTGAGGCAGGTGAAGTATTTCAAATGTACCGACGGAATATTCGAAGGACTAATACTATAGTGTGCTGCGACATAACAATTGTTTGTGACATCGCAATGTTGTGATATGTGACAGTCAGATACCAACTTTTTTTTTATTTTAGATCCTTGATAAACTCTCGGAAATGCAAAAAAACTAACCGATGCTTTTACCAGATTAAAATAATCGTCTGAAGTGTAGAGACTTCCAACTCAAGTTGAAATTTTAATCGACATAATTTAAAACGGTATCAAGACAGTGGCGTTTATACTTTAAAAAATTGAAATTGCATATTATAAAAAATTGCAAACTTGGGGGCTAATGTGTTCAAGTACATTAGTTACGTGTTTTTTTTTTACTATTTTAAGCATCTCAAAATTGACATTGTAAGGTAATTCGGACTTACATTTTCATAATAATAATAATTATTTCTTAATGCCATAGCTCTTTGATAAGGACTTTTTTCATATTAATTCAATAATATCAAATAATAGAACTCTGAAAGGAAAAAAGTATGGAGTCAATGCATTTGAACTACTCCATACACCTGGCATATATATCTCATTCTACGTCCATACATGTTAAGTATAATGAGTGGCAAATGGAGTAGTTCAAATGTACCGACCTGTCTGGCCAGAGCCAGCCCAACTGTTAAAGGACAGCCATTTTTCGCTCATATCTAGCCTTTTTAAATTATGGTGGAGTTTTATACGAAGCAGTGTTTATAAGGGACTAGTAAAAAATCCGTTTGCTTTTAATCAAAAGTTCAAGTTATTCTTAATAGATTGCCAAGACCTCATTACATCAAATATATATTCTAATCCAATATCCAGATTGCAAACTTTTTTTTATTTGAATTTCAAAATAAAACGTAAATTACAAAAAAATATATTAAATTTTAGAGATTTGCGAAAATTCAAATCTAATTTTATATGATACATCAACTATTAGGGAGCGATAACAATAAAAGGAATTTTTTGATTTAGTTATAAATATGTGCTTCTTTCTAAGTGGATGTTATATAACAGCTTTTAACAGACCAAAAGAATCTAAGTTATGGAGAATTTCATTGCAAAATGCAATGAATTAATTTTAAAAAAACTGGGAAATATAGTTTTAAAAAATTAATAAAATATATACATTACATCTACTTTGTCATTAAACAATTGTATTTTTTTTTAATAAAAATAACTATGTCGCAAGGCGTTTAAAAAAAATCAAATCACTACTACGACTTTTTATTTTTTCTAGAGGTCCATAAACAGCACTTAATGTTTTTTTTTGAAATGGGTGTTTTTATCTCCAAAACTATCCAAATTTTTCTTTTTTTTTATCGGATTTGGCAGTGGGCTATTATTTTAATCAAATTAAATTAGTTACATTTTTTAAAGCGTTGATTTCTTATTTATATTTTTTTTTTGTTTTCATCATGTACAAGAAGTTTATTTGTTAATTTAATTATTTTATAAACAACCAAACTAAATTAGTTACATTTTTTTGTACTTTGATTTCTTTTCTGTGAAAAAAACTTGGTTCTTATCATATACAAGGAAAAAGGAAAAAGAAAATTTTTATTCAATTATTTGTGTGACTTATTTTTATCGAATTTAACACAAGCTTGTATAATTAAATTAGTTACATTTTTTAAAAGCTTTGATTTCTTGTCTATTTTTTTTTTGTTTTCATCATTTACAAGGAACTGATTTCGAAAACAGGTTTTTTTTTTAATTATCTGTCATTTGACCAATTTTTATCGAACTTGCTGCATAGTATAATTACATTAGTTAAATTTTTTCAAAGGTTTGATTTATTTTTTTCATCATTTGCAAAGAATTAATTAAAAAAAAAGTTTTTTTTTTTTAAATTATGTCTCTATTTGACCTATTTTTGTCGAACCTGGCACAGTGTGGTATAGTACTCTTTCGTTTGTTTTTATCACTGCCAAAAATGAAAAACGTTTCCTTCAAGCTTTTTAAATTATAGGTAGGTATTTTATTTAAAAAATATTTAGTTTTTTCATTAAGTCGTGCCCACATTTTTTTTTCTCATACGAAATAATTCGGGACGTCCCGTACACCCAACCGGGTCATGTTGGGCAAGCTTTCTAAAAATGGTGCATGCGCTGGACTCAGGCTCAATTTACACCGAATGCGCCGAGCAACGCTCTCACATACCGATTCCTTTATTCAAAGCATTTATACCCGAGAACTTATTTTTGCTCTCCCATTGAGAAAACGGCGAATCTGGCCCAAAGACCTGCCGAATCGCACAATAAAATCCGAAAAAACAAACGCTCCCCGTGCGATCGCACCAATTAAAGACGTACGTAATGCACAACTCTTTACGATACTTTGCGGCCGTCGTACGCAAAGCGGTCCCGTGAATAGATTTGTAGTTACTTTTTGGTGGGAGAACGCTGGCGGACATTCATATCTGGAATGCTGCGGTGTCCGCCGGGAGGGGGCGAGCGGGGCGTATGCCGCCACAGCTGGTAGACGATGCGCTGTTGCGGCAACAATTCCTCCGCGTCGAAAATAGTACCCCTGTGTTATCGTATTTTCGCGCCCGATCTTAGCGCTTTTTTCAACAAATTAACACGGAATTTGCGTGGATCGCGCCGGGCGACGCTCCCGCGTCGCTTAAACCACGTCCGGCGCCGTCCGTTGGCCGGAGGTTAAACGCTATTGCGTATGAATCGAACGTCGGCGTCGACCGGGTCTCAGCTGTTTCCCGCGCTAGCAGAAAACCGCTGTGAGGCTTACGTAGCGTTTGGTTATCCCGCGCTCCGGTGTTATTTTTGTGGTTTGAGAATATTTTTTCGGTTTTTGACGGACGATCGGCGAACTTTACCGTAACAGACGCCATGTCCGTTTACGTGAGTGACGATAGAGTGCTGTTCGAGGAGAGTGGTGACGAGAAAAAGGAGATTTTGGGAAACATCGCGAGGTAAGGCTCACCGATTTTGGATTTTACCCGCGTTTCTGTCGTACACATGATTTTGACATCCGCGTTGTGTTCGAACGTCATCGCGGTTTAAAGTTACATCGTACCGTGTACCGGTTCCGCCTGGTGCGGCCGGTTGTTTTTTAAAGAAAGGCGCCATGTTTGGCTTTTTCGGGACGTCTTATGCTAGTTTTACGCCGAGAGTATCTTCGTGGACAAATTCGACGTGTGTTATTACACCACTTTGATGTTGGATGTTTCTCGAAGTTTTCCGTGAATTTATTTACGAAATAGAACTTGTTTTAATGTTCCTCGATTTTTGTATCAATTCAGTGATGCCAACCGCGAAAAATAAATCAAAAAGAATGGTTATGTTATTATAAACTGATAAACGCGTACCCCTTCCGATTGGTTTTCCCTTTGTGAATTTTAAATAATGTGAATTGTGTCAAAGATAAGATGAGTTTATGTAGCTTAGTAAACAGTGCCGATTTTGGTAAGAATTTTTCTATAATTTAAGATCTCCTTAGACTTAAATAAGCTAAAATTTTACTGTTTTTAGAGTTTTAATTTTACAACAAATCAAACAAGCTTCTTGATATCAATGTATGAGCGACATCATGTGTTATATGAAGCAAGCGATCCCAATTACAAAAATCAAATGAAACGGCAAGTTTATTTAACAAATATGAACAAAAAATCCTAGTAAGTGGCACTAGTACAGTAAGAGCAAATGAGTCCAATCTACTGATAGCCGAGAATCTGACTTCAATATAGGTCACCTTTGGGTTCTCCTACCACACATCTTTGACAAATGCTAAGCTCGAAAAAAAGACAAAAAGCAGAATTAAATAGAAACTTCAAAGGCGATTACCATTATGGAAAAAGCAACTAGTGTTGTTGAAAGTGTTAGTCGACCGGAACATCCTGCTGGCAGGCTAGATACTATGGATGCTTTAGTTAAACAATATTGCGGTTTGAAATGTGTTTAACTGTGGGTGCAGAGTTAAGGGAAATAACAAAATGTAAATTACTTTAATATTATTTACCAAGCTTAGTACGAGGCATTGGAGATGAATATCTGCATAATTTTATGCAAAAAAAACATCAACTTTTGATTTTGAAATAGAACTTATTCAAAAAAATTCAATTTTTGGCTTTGTAAAAGATGTTTTTTGTTGTTTGTTGATATATATATATATATATATATATATATATATATATATATATATATATATATATATATATATATATATATTCTCACGTATTGATTCACGGATGGAAAAATGTGATGACACTATATTCCGGGATATCATCCGTTCGCTCGTTGAACTCCGACTGGAATCCTGCAAATTCTGCATCCGACTGGAATCCTGCAGACGTTTCGCCAAAATCTCACTTGGCATCTTCAATGCTCGCGCTCGTGTTCGAAGTGTTTTCGGAGCGCGAGCATTGAAGATGCCAAGTGATATTTTGGCGAAACGTCTGCAAGATTCCAGTCGGATGCAGAATTTGCAGGATTCCAGTCGGATGCAGGATTCCAGTCGGAGTTCAACGAGCGAACGGATGATATCCCGGAATATAGTGTCATCATATATATATATACATATATATATATATATATATATATATATATATATATATATATATATATATATATATATATATATATATATATATATATATATATATATATATATATCCCTCTACCAACTTTTGGTACAACTTATGGAAATAGTTGTCTCCAATATTTGAAAGCTGTGCTTTGTTTGTCTTCTGCAATTATCGCATCTTTAAAATTTGTGTTCATTTCTTTATCTGTACCATCACTTGAGTTGATATACTATCAATGTTTTCTTTTGACATCCTCGAAATTTGTTCAAACCGTTCAGGGTCCTTTTTTAACCTCTTTTAAACCTCTTTTATTTTTATCTTAGCCAAGGCCCAGACCAGAGAGCTTAAACATTTCAATTATATAACCAAACACCAATCCAAATCAAAATTGTCAAAAATAACCTCAAAATGCTATATGTTGGCAGAATTGTTAAATGACATTTTGAGACGTCATTTAAATTAACGAAGCTCCTTTCCAGTGCAAGTCGGCAACTTCATAAACAAATTCATCAATTACTTCATGAATTTATTTATTTAGAAGTGCAAACGCGACGTATTACTTTCTATTTACGATCATTTCGGGGTTTTGGCAACCGATCAGTTCGCACTTTCACGTGTGTCGGGATTCGGTCGATTTTCGAGAAGTGAATCACCGGAAAGCGATGAATGCGATAAGGCAGTTAAACGCAAGGACAAACGATAACTTATGGGTGATAAGTCGTTTTCGGAAATCGGGCCTGAATTTTTGACTTTTATTTGCCCGTTATCTTTCGCTGATAAAACTACGACGTCGGTTTTGGTTAGTTCGGTTTGGGTGGTTGTTTTAAAACTAACCTAAAAAATGCCACCCGCTTGGTCGTCCTAAGTGTTTTTCTCGTAAAAAGCGATTATGTTAATGCCTTTATCGCTGTGTATAAAAGCACACTATTGTTTCAATCAGTTCTAATTTGACTTAGTGAATACGGCGAGCATGGCGAGTAAGCGAAAAATTTTATCTCTAGATGATAAAGTTGCTTTAATTCGGGAGATAGAATGCGGAGAAAAGAAAAATGATGTGGTACGTCTATACGGACTTACACCGTGGACTGTATCCGCGATTTGGAAGTGGAAAGAAAAAATCATTCAGGCTGAAGCGGCAGGCAGTTTAGTAAAAAACTAAGAAAGCCAAAATTTGAAGGTTTGGATCGGGCAATGTTGCAGTGGTTCCAACAGCAACGTCTTAAAAATGTACCACTCTCTGGACCTATCGTAAAACTAAAAGCAGAAAAGTTTGCTGAACAGATTGGCATTATCGGTTTCAAGGCTTCGGAAGGATGATTGGGAAAGTTCAAACAGAGACATGGTGTAAATTATTAACAGATAAGTGGCGAAGCCCGTGATGTCGACAGAAACTTCACTAACTGGAGAAGACTTGACCAAAACTAGCAGACAAGTAGCCTGCTGACGACATTTTTAATGCTGACGAAACTGGTATTTTTTACAAAATGACGCCAGATAAAATTCTTAAATTTCGAAGCGAAAAGTGTGTGGCTGGAAAACTTTCTAAAGAACGTATAACAGTGTTAGTAGCTGCCAATATGAGTGGAGGAGAAAAAATAAAGCTAGTCGTCATTGGAAAATCAACTAACTCAGGATGTTTTAAGAACATCAAGTATTTGCCGGTCACTTACAAGGCAAACAAGTCTGCATGGATGACATCGCAAATTTTTGAAGACGAGATACGGAAATGGGATGCAGAATTAAAGAGCCACCAAGCGAGTGGATAAAATAGTTTCAAACAACAATTACCTTTACAAGTGAGGAGTTGCAAGATTTTATGGTGGTAGATCAGGAAGAAATGGTGAAAATACAAGCCAAAGTACGAGGTGCGTTTTGGCATACTAAAAAAATTCAAAAGAAAATGACCGATTATTTGAAACATTAAATGTAGTTTTAAATATTTATGTAAAATGTTCCTAAATAGATGTTAAAATATGTATATAAAATAATTAAATATTACAGAACACATATGTGCATTGTTATTTTTCAAGTGCCTACAACTCTTTATAACGAAAAAAAAAAGAAGTCTATTCAATTTCGCTATATGGAGATTGTTTTTGCGTTTGCGTTTTTCCTCTGCAAAATATCAAGAGCAAGTTATATTGGTTTTAACATTTCTTTTTAAATACCTTCAAAATCGAGTACATTCTTTCCTAAGATAAATTATACCATATGACTACGAAATACTTTTTTTATGTAAGACATAAAGGACATAACGTTTCGAATTAAATTCGAAAAAATCATTTTTTTTTTAATTAATAAATAAATAAAAATCAAAGTTTGCCCAACACTGTTCACGCTATATAGTGTTCTAACTTCACTAGGTCACTTTCTTTTTTTTTTTCACATCTGCCCTTCCGTTTATATGTGGGGAACAGCTGCCCGTGCGGAAAGATTGTTTGGAAGGAGTAAGGCAAGGGACTTACCTAGAAAGGGACAGATTTTTATACCTGGATTCTTTCGCCATGTGACAGTGTTACAAATAATTTGGCGATCGTACTTCTACCTGAAGTGTTTACTAGCGATTCCCGTGTGAAATAAAGTCGATTTTTTCGTAACTTTTTCGCCATAACCTCGTAAATACTAACGTATGTATCGCCATTGAGTTTGTCAAGAGCTTAAATGCGTGGGAACTGTCTTCCTTTCGCGTGGGAATTTTCGGATTTCTATGTTTCCCTCGAGAATATGGATAATACCAGTAATGCTCGTATAATGTTAAACTAATACATATTAAAAATTCCTTAAAGCCTGAGTTGACCTAGACAACTTCTGGTAATTACGGTTAGGTTTTTATTTTTTTAAGTCACTGAGTCTTCACATCATAATTAAAGTGTTATTTTTTGAATAATTCTATTTATTTAGCCTAAAGCCACACCTTTCGAAAATCTTATAAGTACCAATAACAAATTTTTTAATCTATAGAAAAATAGTTACTAATCATTTTTTTTTTTTTATTCAATGCTTTTGAATTAATAATTCTAATTATTATATATAACATAAATAGGGGATAGTGGAGCAGTTAAAGTAAAAAATAATTCGACTTGATAGTTAAAAGCCACAAAAAATAATAAGAAACTTAAGTGGGCCACCCTCCCCTACCTAGGCAATACTTGAGACCAAAAAATAAAAAAAAACGCCTCTATAAAATTTGTAATTTATTTACTTCGAAGTACCTAGTTAAATGTGTATTTTCATCGGCTGTACTCAAACGAATTGAAAAATAATATTAATAAATGAAATAAATAAATAAAATATAAATGAAGTAAACATTCAAATCAGTGATATACGGCTGGAGAAAGTTACTAAATTTAAATATCTAGGAATGACGATGGACGATAAACTGACGAACA